GAATAGTTTATGGATGGAAGTCTGGCATAGCATAGAAGATCATTCTCGATGAATCGAGCGGGTATAGACATCAATGCTAATTGTAACGGATAACTTATCAACAACCATTATGCCTTCCATTTGTATATGGTGACCTGTGTCCTTATATCTATGATGTAGGCGAGATTTCCGTTACCCACGCTACTGTATCCGCGGACATTTGCCTTTTGCGACCTTCAGGTTCCAGGGTGTGGAAGTGCATCATAAAATTTGTTCAGAGTTATGCGCCTAGTAGTATCTACCAAAGTAACTCCTAGTTTTGCTGACTTAGTAGCAAAAGGACCCGGATAGAGAGGCTAGGAAGACGCGAGGTTGATCGCCGTCACAGATCACGTTTCCCTATCTATCATCGTCGAAGTTTTTCATCCGACTTAGGAGAGCGCTGCGCTGGAGAAAAAGCGAAATGGTCGATTTTATTAAGGTACCAATCTCTAGATCTATCGAAATACAAAGATCGCTTGCTCGCTTTGACAAATCGAATTCTCCATAAGTCCATATCGTTCATCTGGTATATCAACACATTACCCCCGCACCTGAGCGAGCCCCTTTTACTTGCAACTGTAGTCTTGGCAAAATGGCTGTGAAGAATTTAGGAAACGTCTCGCAAGAGCTTGTAAACTATCTTTAGATATTCCTTAAGTCTATAGTGTTGCTACTAGTAGAAAGCCCTTCGGAAGATACAAGTAAATGATCTCGGCGATATCTAGGAAGCATCTCGATCATATTACTTCCAGTTCATCTTTTAAAAAGCTTTAGGAACTTGGTTCGAAATAATCAGCCCAGCATCAAAGGAGCATCAGTTGTCACGGCAAAGACACTCCAAGATGTCAAGGACTAGTAAAATCCTTCAGGAATTAGACTTCCTTTTGACTTGATGGTGCCCTCATTTCTGGCCGCTCACCTGTATTGTGCTTGAGCCGGAAACTTCTTCTTCCCCGATTAAAGGCCTCAAGATCCCCCCCTTTGCTTCCATCATCTAGATTTTTTAACAGTAAGAGATCCTTCCTTTTTCGGCGCATTTATTTTCATCGACCCCTCTCAAAGCTCGGAACTATTTTATTTTCTCTCTTTCATCACGGGACTTGGAACGAGAACGTTCGCCCGAGAATGAGAAGCCTTCGCTTACTCCCATTGTAGCGCAGAACAGCATTTAAGATGTCTCTTCGACAGTAGAACTCGAAGTCTGGAACCATCATCGTCGACTGCAACACATTCGACCGTCCCCCAAAACATCAAGATCCACCGACAGCGACGACAACTAGCCTACGCCGAGCAGACCACGAAGTTTCTTATCTTCGACCACCATTGATCAAGACATCATGGCTCCCCCAACCAAGGACTCCTCTTCGACCGCAAAAGAAGCCCTCCCCGAGAAGAAGAAGATTCCCTTCAGCAAAGGGAGCACCGCTAATCGAATATCTAATGTAAGCACTCACCCTTCCCCCCCCTAATCATCCAAGACCAACACTTCACAGAGCTCCATCAAACATGCCCCCTGCTGCCCCAGAGGCACCAAGTTCAGCTGGTCGGCCAACATGCACCTTTCCCTGGCCAATACCCCCCGCCCACAAGTCGGTGTCGAGAGCCCCGAGCTCATGCACATGAACCTCACCGACACCAAAGGCAACACCTACAGGATCGTCTACCCCGGCCGCGGCAAGATGGACTTCTCCTCCCGGCAGTGGGTCAGCGCGCTCGACAAGTGGCGTCGCCAGTTCATCAACCGCCGTCTCAACAAGAACAACGACGGCGAGAGCCAGGCCAACGACTTCCGCCCGCACTGGACCGAGCCCGAGCAGGAGTACCTGCTGCACGTCATCAAGGAGTGGATCAAGAAGAACGAGTGCTCCATCAGCATGCGGCACTGGGAGGAGATCGCCGGCATCTACAACGCTCGCTTTGAGGGGACCGAGGCGCAGGCCGGGTGGAGATGCCCACCAGCCTTCAACGGCAAGGGCTTGTCGGCGGGTGGGAAGTTGAAGCTGGCGCACACGCTCCCGGCCCGCAAGGCGACGGCTGTGCGGTCCCAGGTGTATCGATGGCCGAGAGTCAGAGAAGCGATGGATGCCGAGCTGAGGAAGATCGAGCAGGAGGATAACGGCGATGACGATGACCGGGAAGACGTCGATCTAGAGGCTCCGGACTCGGATGATGAGGATGCGCTGGATTCAGAGGACGCTTACGAGCCAGTGGACGACGCTCCTCATCAGCCGCAGTCATCTCGCCTCGAGGCGTAGATCGGCCCAATCTTTCGTCCCGAGTCTCTTCGTGGTCAGTACGGCCCCGACCATACATGTAGTTAATTATCCAGCTAACTTAAAAGCTCAGTCCGTTCTTGAATACGGACCCATCTAGGCTCTATCAGCTAGGGTTCTCCGAGCTCTAGACAATGGCAGAGAGTTGGGTTGGCTCACATTGCCATATTCCGAACCTGGAGAGAAGCAGCCAGACAGGCCCTTTGAGCCTTCACGATGAGCTAGCTGTACTCTACATAGCCCCGAAAATCTCAAGCCTCGCTCGCACATCCACACCCTCTATCTCTCGAATCACACAGCACCGCACCCGAATCCCCACGCGTTCCCTTTCCTCGAAATATCCACCGCCGGTAGCAAGCGTCTCCCCCCTCAATTCCCCACCCAGCCAAAGTCTCAGATTCTCGCAATGAGACACCCTCCCCGATACTTGCCGTCTCTCTAACCCTAGCCCACGAATATCCCATTAGCTATCTGTTGCTAGGTAAAGTGGAAGAAGAGCAGGGTGCACGTGCCACCAAGTCAGTGCACGGACCTCAGGCCTTGGCGCTAGTTCCTACTACCGTACCTACCGGTACCTTAGGTACCTAGGTAGGTACCTACCTACAACCTCATCCCAATTCCCAGTCCTAGATAATACAAGTCAAGTCAACCACAACCACACAACTTCATCAGAAGCTTCCTCCTGCGACCTAGTATTATCACGAGGTAAGTACCAGCAATACCATCTATTCCAGCTCCCCACCCCATTTACCTCGTTCGCCCATCCCCGCCCAGAGCGATGAGGTGCGTGCATCTCTTCGGCCAAGTGACGATGGATTATAGGGACGGGCTACGGTACTTGCATCTCATCGCTGCCCCCTTCATTCCTCTGCGCCGATCTCTCTCTCGATCCCGGTCAACTGTCGCTTCTTCTCATGTTGTAGGCCGGCGCATCTCGCGCCGTTATATCGATGGGGAGGAGAGGGCCGGACTCGAAACCGCTTCTATCCAATTTCCTTCGGCTCGTCATTGGTTCTCCTCGTTTGTTTGGTCGCTTGCGACTTGACTTGACTTGACTTGACTTGACTACCAGCTGAGTTCGAGGTGTTCCCATCTGGTCCCTTCGGCATGTCTCCTCTAGCCTTTCTCCTGGTGCGCCAGAGTGTATCATTCCACTTGGCAAAAAAAATAACAATAACATTCTGGACTTGTAAAGTTCTATGAGTTTGAATCAAAAATAAAAATTGCATAAATCAACTAGCTACTCACGAAATGATTACACTTTACAAACCTTATTGAATCGGTTTTGTCGCCAGCTTGTAGTGTCTGATCTCAACTGACAGTAGACTGGTAACTTGTTCTCAGCGACCAGGCCGCTGAGCCGCTTATTTGTAACCACACGATATATTCTATTTTTCACTCTCAACTAATTACCCCCACTTCTAATGATGTACACAGCGTTCTTCGCAGCTAGAACGCAATTCTACTTCTATTCCAGTTCCACCCGAGCTCATATCAGTGACAACGAAAGCGTCAGTCGAGACCCGGCTATAGAATATTACCCTGAACCCCTTAACCAAAGTACCCCAGAAAATGATGCATCATGATACTCTGGAGCATGATATCCCCCTCGAGTGTTCCAGGTGAGAAGTTCTCCCTAATCAGATCTCGGTTCTCGATGCGCGTAACGATCTCGCTAGGGTAAAATCAAGTCAGTAAGAGCTGTGTTGAACTTTGGCTTGAAACCATACCCCTGTTCATCCTTTTTGGGACTTGATCAAGTTTTTCACGCTCCAGATGGGGCTTTTCGACGCGTGTTTTGGCGTATGCGCCTGTCTCATGAAATTCGAACTCACTACGAGGTCTGGCCTTTTTCGATTCCTGCACGGGCTTTTATATTATTGTCAGTTGAAGAAATCGTGGGAAGAGAGTACTTTACTTACGCTGCCGTCGCTAGATGGGGGTATCTTCAAGCCGGATCTGGGCAATATGGAATTCTGAGGATCAATCAGTAACGTGCCCATCTGAGCTGAAACCTCACTGACCAGCTCTCTTTGCTGGCTTCTAGTGTAGCGAAATGGCGTATCCAACGGGATACCTTCCATCTCGAGCTCGTGAGCCTGAATCGTATCCGCTTAGCACCAAACCCATCATTGATAAGTCCAGTTGGGAACCCACATCTTCCCGGGTATTCCTCAAATCTTCACGAGATTTGTCCGCTTCTTCTTGACTAAGATAATACTTCCGCTTCTTTTTCGAAGCTCCGTTGACTTTGGTAACCACACCCCTCTTCCTTTTTTTGTCGATGTCTGGTAAGTAACCCGCGGCGAGTGTTAATTCTACGAGCCCTGAGAACGCGGGTTCCGGCTGTTTATCAACAGAGCATTCGCTCATCAGAGTATCCTCGTTCTTCAGAGTATCCTCGCTCGTCAGAATATCCTCGCTCGAGTCCCGTCTCAGTCTCTTAGGCTCTGGAAGATTTTTTAACTCCTCAAAGTTGGTCTCCATCATCCACTCTGTATCCTGGGCCTTCTTGATAGAGAAGAGCCGGGTGGACGAGACAATATCGGTCTGCGTGCTTGAGAGTGACTGTCGATTACTCTCACTTAGAAGCCTTAAGTCACCACCATCAGTTGGGTACCTTCAAAAGAGCTTCCTTTCCACTCACTTGTTGCTCCCGTCCTCAACAGAAGATATCCGTTGGTGAGTTGAGGCATCTGTGCTCGTAGAGCGATTGAACTGCCTCCTATACTCCCGTTGCCACCGTTTGAATATCTCAAGGCAGTTTTGAGCAATGTGGTGTTCTTGCGCCAGTGAATCCGTCCGTTTATCTTTTTCCTTCTCGACCTGTTTCGTATGGGAGTCTGATGTGCCATGATTGGTGGGAATATCTAAGATGTCCGTGGCTGGGCTGGTAGAACACGGAAGTCAGCAAATGGTTTTGGAGGGAGGACAACACATCTTCCCAGATATGTCGGAATAACCCGAGAGCCGGAACTAATGGAATACCTGTAAAGTGTGGAGGCCTGCGTTACTGGAACTTTGAAATTGATAGGGGTGGTCTTGCGTCTCATCGTGTATCGAAACCGGGATATAGAGGGTGCAGCGTGTGAATAGTAATCGATACCGCGTACGATAGCGATGCTACCGTCCAAAAGTGCGATTGTTGTTGTTGATGTTGGTGATAATTGATGATGATGATGACAGATGACTGCTTTGAAAGATCAAGCCATAAAGAAAAGTCTCAAGTACGTACCACTTGGCAGTTGTTAGGAGGGAAAGAGCGAGGTATCGTCCTTTGGGAATACGCGAATGTCGAAGAAGACACGACAAACGAATGACCACCCACAGATAATTCGATACCGTCTGGGCGTTAGGTATGTACAATTGCGTTCAAGTCTTTCGTTTCCAAGTTTCCATCACCGCAGATGCCTAAATATCTTAACTTTAGGGGCGTGCCGAAGCGTGACGAGGCTGCTCGGCTACTTATGGGAGTCCATCATAGCCGTAAGGCTGCTTGCTATCTAGAACACATAGTCATCTTCAGTAAGCCCTGGAAGGTGATTAAACAACTTGCGAGTTGATTTAAACTACTATTATTCTCTGTCTAGCTTTGTTCACTTTACACGGCTTAGTATATCAGCATTGTGAAAGCGGACTTATGCTGTCCTTGAGAATTCCGTATATTTCTATATAGTAGTTTACCTCACCTAGAATCTTTTCATTAAAATTTCCAGAACAAGTCACAATAAAGGGTTTGTTGACAAGCCCCCCCTTTTTTTCCCACGACCATCAATCTCGCCTATTTATAGCAAGCATTTTACTGGCCCTCGGCATTATTCTCTAGTGCCTTGATTGGCCCCACCGTTTGGTTTCGGTCGCGCCGGAATATTTTTTTTTCTTGCTGGAATTTACCCGTGATGTGTTTGTACTTAGAGAGAGGTAGAGTTGGGTGACGGGTGTCAGAAAATTGATTGCTCTCGTGAGAGGAGAGGAGGAGAAGAAGGTTTTAGCTAAGTAGAAGTACATGGTACGGATATATGGATCACGTGCGTGGAACATGGGAGCCGGAGTTGCCAACTACTCCAGTTGACGAGCCTTTATAAAAGACCATACGCTTTGCCATCACTTTTCAAGTGATTGTTAATTCTTTGCAGGATTAAAGATAGTCTTTTGGTTATCGCGTACGTACGAAAGATGACGTCTCTATCATCGCTCCCAAGATCCGATCCCAAGTGCTTGGACTTCTCTAAGTCAGTTCCGGCCGCCTCTCATTTCTGCCACTTCACACTCTTCGACCTTCCATTTCTCAGCTTGAGGCACAGGAACACCATCGCATACGACGCCAGGGCGAAAACCACTACGATGCCCACATCCCGCCAGCCATGGCTCTTTGAAAGATTCAGCGTCTTCAGATAATCGCCGCCCTCCCGAAACTGGCAGACCCGGCACTCCTCAGTCGCAAGCGGATTAATCAGATTGCTACCGGATCCAGCCTCTCTCAGGTATCTCTCGAGATACTGCCCACACGTCTGGCCCCTGGGCGGGTCAAAGATGGCAAACTCGCTCTCGTTACACGTGACCTCGGTATCCCAGATGTCAAAGACGAGCATGGCGCCCATGAAGTAGGTGAAGGGGTTCAGGTAGTACAGCCAGTAGCGCCAGAAGCCGACGATCTGGTCGTATGGGACCAGGATGCCGCAGAAAGGGGCCAGGACGCCGATCAGCACGGGGCTGGCGAACGCGGCGAATGCGGCGTTGGGCGCGCACGTCGCGACCAGCTCGCCGATGCCCGTGAACACGAACTCGTACATGATCATGACCAGCAGCGTGGGGCCCGCCCCGTGCGATGGGAAGCCAACCGTCCAGTACCAGGCTACGAAATAGAGGGCGGCGCTTGCGACCAGGTAGGGGAGCTCTGCTACTACGACCGCCGTGGCGAAGGCGAGCCAGGAGTAGATTTTGGATTTGGCCTCGCGGGTTTCGAAGATGTCGCGTCGGGAGATGAAGAGAGGTTGCAGCTGGTTAAGGGCACCTGGGGCGACGAAGATGAAGTTGAAGATCGTGAAAAGGCGGGAGTGTAAGGAGGTGACGGAGTGGCTGACTTGGTAGAATGTGAAGCCGTTGAAGAGGGCAGATGAGATATGCAGGATAACTGTGGTGGGTGGGCTCGCTTGTCAGCCTGTGCCTGTTACCTGAAATGGAAGGAATTGTTGATGGGGAAGATGAGGACGGCAATTTCTTTAAGATTCGTTTCGAAGGATAGAGGCACATGATCTCAGGACTCACGAAATGCTGGAAAGATCCCGCTAAAAGCTTGAAGGGGAAGAAACACGCTCAGAAGATGATGCACTCACGCTTGTTGTTAATGTAGTCGGTGTTGCGGTACAGGGAGAGACTGGTCCGCGAAGTCACCATTCTGATCTGTTGCCATATCGGCGTAGCGAACTCGTCGTTGTACTGGTCGGACATGGCAGAGAGGGAGGATGTTGAGGCCGATTCGCGCTCGATCCGTTCGAGCTCGGCGGCGACGGCGACGTATTCTGGGGATTCGAGCCAAACTGTATTCCAATCCTTTTCACGGCCCCACGAGCTGGAAACCACGTCGATTATATACTCGGCCGGGTTGGTATCGAGAAGGCATTCCGGAGCACCGTTCCTGGCGAAGTAGCTCTTTACCGTTTGAGAGTTCTTGCCGCCTGTGTCGCCAAAGTAGGCGACCTTTCCGCCAGGAGCGAGGAGGAGTAGAGTGTCGAACTGGGAGAATACCTGTGCGGACGGTTGGTGAATTGTCACGAGCACAGCTTGTCCGACATCTGCCAGTTTTCGCAAAAATCGGATCGTGTTGAACGCAGATTGACTATCCGCCCCGGATGTCGGCTCGTCGAGGAAGATCAGGACTTTCGGTTTCGACACCAACTCGACACCGATCGTGACTCGTTTCCGCTGCTCCAACGTTAGGCCGGCGTCGACGCAGCCAATCAAGGTGTCGGCAAGGTCGTTCAGTTCTAGTAAATCGATGATTGTCTGGACGTAAGCGATCTTCTCCTCGTAAGAAACTTTCCGGTCTTGCCGTAAGAGGGACGAGAACTCCAAGGCTTCCCGGACGGTGACGAATGGCTCGTGGACGTCGACTTGCTCGCAGAATCCGATGCAGCGTTGGAAAGACACTGGAAGCGGTCGACCGTCGACTAGGACCGAGCCGCTGATCACGCCCTCGGTCTTGCGCTGCCGGGAAAGTCAGTACATGCATGATCGAAGATAGAAGTCTCCGCTGCAAGCTCACTCAATACTTACTTGAGCCAAGGTATCCAAAAGTGTCGTCTTGCCTGCTCCAGAGGCACCTATTCATGGTCAGTAGACATGACATACAGTGCTGAAGATCACATACCCATCAGAGCCCCTAGCATGCCAGGCTTGACCCACCCATGCACATTATCCAGCAGGACTCTCTCTCCAGCCTTAGTCTTCACCGTGTACGACAAGTTCCTCCACGTCAGCACTGATGTATTCCGCGCCAAGTCCCCAGCAACCCTCGTCTCCTTACCGACGCTACTAGAGGAGCGGACTTCATCAACTTCCATCACTTTGTTTCCGGCTGCGCCAAAAGTCTCAGGACCCACAAGTGTTTTCTTATTGTCGACATCGCTTTGCTCCGGCTTCTCCAAGCCCGGGCTCGACATCTCTTCGTCTTTTACAATAGCGCGCAAGACACCAGCAGCTTTCTCTCGCGGAATGAGAAGTGTTGTCTGTCCCTCGGACGCGAAATGCCACTTGGTGCTGTAGAAGATTGTGACCCCGGCGAAGAAAACCCACATTGGCCACAGTATGGCGAAGTTACGCCAGACGTGTCCGTGGCCGTATCTACATTGCCCCGGCGTCAGCAAGCTCTAGTTTGGTTGACCGGAGCAGACCGGTTAGCTACTTACGCTAAGGATTCCAGATAGTCGTCTCCTCGGACGAAGGTGGTATTGTGGAGTGCTGCCGCACCTACGCCGGCGCAAGAGCGGGATTCCGGGTCAGGGTAGCCGGGGCCGACGGGAACGATGTTGGGCCCGATGCATTTGATGATTGTGTCATGGAGCTCGTTGGATAGCAGAGCGTCGAAGGCGTAGGCCAGGGGGTCGACCCAGAAGATCCACTGGTTCATAGTCAGCAACCTTTGCTGGCACTTCCACACGTTAGTTGGGAAAGTGAAGGATCCAAACTTACCACGAACCACGGGTGCATCAGGTGATAGTTAAACATGTATCCCGTGTACAGGTTGACGAAACCGATCACGATTCCGGCCCACTTGGAAGCTTTGTCAAATGTTGAAGACATTGCGCCGATTGCACGGAAGAGGGCTGTCATGGTCTGGAGAGAGTATCAGTATGTCCACCAGCTATAATAGTTGATTGATGGAAGCTCACTAATGCCGTAACGAAGAGCAGTACCCAGTACGTAAAGAAAGCATCAGCACTCTGTGCCAGCCCAACCATAAAGTACAGCACCACAGAGAACATCGTAATCCGGAATGCAATAACAGGAATATCCGCTACGATCTGGGCGATGTGATAGGCCGCCAAATTATTAAAGGCAAAATACTTGTGCTTCAGCAAGACCGGCCTCCCATTGAACGAATCCGCAACTTCAGACATGGCGATCAACGTATTATACAGCAGCGCAAAGAACAAAGCTCCTGATTTGATGAACAGCCCAACTGAATTGGGAGGCGCATCGTAGAAGAGTGATCCGAGGATGAGCGCCAGCGCGGTGCTGGATATCTGCTTCATCAGGAACGTCTTCTTGTCGCCCCACAGGATCTGGTACTGGCGAACGAGGCACGCTTGAACCTGGGCGCTGAAGCTGACGGTGAACAGGTCGCTGCAACTCTCATCGGCGACGGACTTTTGGAAGCCCAGCGTCCGTTGCTCTGCTAGTGCGCTGGATGGGTAGTTGTACTCTGATGACATTTCGAGATAGATCTGCGATTTCTCGTACACGGCGCGGAACGCTGCGGTGTTGCGCGGGACGATGCCCAAGCATTCTGGGCGGATCTCGCGCTCGCTTGGTACCGTCACACCGGTTAGGAAGTCGGCTGTGTTGGCGCCGTGCAGACAGTCGAAGCCTAGGCTTTCCATGTAGGGTCGCGTGGCCTCCATGGGCCCGAAGTAGATCTGTTGCCCTTGGTCGAGAAGAAGGACTTTGTCGAAGAGGTCGTAGATCCCGTTGCCGGGTTGGTATAGGGTCACGATTGTTGACAGTCCTCGGCTATTTGTCAGTGCCCGCAGAGTTTTGATGTACTGCAATGCTCTGCATATCCCAGTGAGTAATTTGGAACTCAGAAAGATGGTGTGTCGTGAAAAGACTTACGTGCTTGCATCCAGGCCTCTGGTTGGCTGGTCCCAGCAGTAAACCGACCCTCTTGTTGCCAAACACTCCGCAATGGATACCCGCTTGCGCTCCCCACCCGAGACGCCCCTGACAAACTCATTCCCAATCTTAGTATTCTGCGTGTGCTCAATCCCTAAAGCTTGCAGCAGAATATCTCGATACCCCTTCCGGTAATTCTCCTTCTCGGCTTGGGGCTTGTTGAACGGGACCTTGAGCCGGGTCGCAAAGTCCATCGTCTGGCCCACGGTCAAAGATGGGAAGAACAATTCGTGCTCCGTATTCATGACAATCTGCCCGGCATACTGCTCAGCGGCTTTGTGATCCATCGAGCCGTAGAAGACATCGCCGCTGACGGACTCGTATCCTCGCCTTCGGTTTGCCAGTACGCTCAATAATGTGGTACATCCCTACTCCGTTCAAAGATTAGCAATCTCTCAAAAGTTTGCAGCCTATGCAGGGCAATGTCTGCTGGAGGTGCTCCCGCATAGGCCGGAACTAGACATGTGGGATGCCGTGCCACTACAACTTACCGACCCAGGCTTTCCCAGCACCAACAGCATCTCCCCGGGCTTGACGCAGCCATGCGAGCTGTCCAGAATAGTCCTAGTCGCGGGATGGCGGCGCAAGCTCCTCAACTTTCGGGGAATGTCGAACTGCGAGACGAAATTCTCATGAACAGCAGCATCAGTGCTAATACCTTTGACAGTGAGATCGGTCCATGTGATGCCCAGCTCCTGGGATGTGCCACCTGCACTAATCTTCTCCCTGTCGAGGAATGATTGGAGTTTCGAGAGGGCGCTCTCTGCTTCGCTGGGCGGGCCTTCGGTGACACTCGGAGATGTCTCTATGATATCTTCCTGCGTTCTGGCGCTGTTGGGTTTGCTGTCGTCGTCGTCCGTGGAGGAAGAACTTGGCAATTCTACCTTTGCAATTTCGCCATAATCCATACCAACAACGGCATTCGTCGCTGACACTTCCTGAATTCCCGCAGCAGCATCAGTGCGCATGGTGAAAGTAGATAAAAGATGACCAGGCCGGCATAGGCGGGCGGTGGATTGAAATCGACTATATACAGGAAGAGTGTATTAGAAAATGTGCAAATTGAAATCGAAAAATTCCTGAGCGCATTTCATATTTATTGCTCGAGCACCATATACATAAGCTTACTCTCAAGAGGCAGGTTCAGAGATCGGTGGGCCGGAAATCCACTAGGCTGGTCAACGCTACGACGTCGCGGAGTAAACAACAAGCGAAGACCGATGAACAGGACATCGCGTTTGGTGGAACCGATAGTGCGAACGGGAAAGCAAGATCCGTGATACCGACAATAATGATGATGGACGGATAGGATCCAAAAGATACGACAGAGAAGTCCCCATAAGCATGATGATTATGATTATCGTTATCATTATCGTGATCACTGCTATTATCACCATAGGAAAGCATTGCATTGCATTGCTCGCTTGTGAATTGTGGGACGGCTTCAAGGGGAGTGAAAAGGTGTCCGATTAGTAAGCGGCATCTGTTCAGCAGCACCGTCCAATCAGGCGACGAAGCGAAGGTCCATCAACAAAGAAAACAACAAGAAACGAATCTCCACCAACGTGACCAATGTGGGGCAGGGTATCTCTGCAGCAAGGCGCTAGCAACTTCTATCTGAATCTTGTCAACCCAGTTTGCGATTCAATTGCGTTATTCGTCCTCTTCCTTCCGTGTGTCTTTCTCTCCTTACTTCACCTCACCTCAACTCTCAGAGAAGCGGATTATTCTGCGTCCATCTGCTTCCTAAGTACAGCCAGTCGACCATATTGCAGAATCATCATTCCACACACTAAACTAGGAGCTAGACTATCGCGCGACGGTCAGCGGAGACGAACAGCAGTAATTCGAGATGGCCGATACCAGTGACTGTACGCTGGCTACCTGCCCAGTTGAGTTGTCGGAGATTGGATACTTGCCCAACGTCGCCGGTAACGTCTTCATTGCCGCATGGTTCGGTGTATGTCTCCTCGCTCAGCTGGTGCTCTCGATCAAGTACAAGACGTGGAGTCATCTGGCCGGTCAATTCTTTGGACTCATCCTGGAGATTGTTGGCTACGCCGCTCGCGCCAAGCTCCACGATGATCCGTTTGGAAACCAGTTCATCGTGTACGTACCCACCTCACCTCTAAGAATTTCAACTTTTTTCTCCTCCTCCTCGTAACGGAGAGGACGTTGTTGCCATAGGACTGACCCGCCCTGCTCCTTGCTCCCAGATACATCATCACCGTCACCATCGCGCCGGCCTTCCTGTGCTACACCATCTACCTCTCCTTCGGCCGCATCGTCATTATCTACGGCACCCACCTCTCGGTCATCCCCTTCCGCTTCTACACCATCATCTTCGTCGCCACGGACATCATCTGTCTTGTGCTGCAGGCTGGCGGCGCGGGGTGGACCCAAGACAAGAACATCTCGCCGGCCAATCTCGAGCGCGCGATCAACGTGCTGCGCGCCGGCCTCGGGATGCAAGTCGCCAGTCTGAGCATCTTTATTGTCCTCGCCGTCGACCTCGCGTACCGCGTCGTCCGACGTCGAAACTCGTGGAGCATGCGATTCGTCTCGGTGCGAGAAAAGAAGATGTTCAAACCGATGTTGCTGGGTAAGTCGTGCCGCTCCCAACTCCCACCTTAACTACCCCTCACCTCACCTACACCTACACCTACACCTCCACCTCTATCCCCCTCCCTTACCCCTTCCCGTCTGAATCACACAAACAACATATATATATATATGTATAATTTGGTTAACCACCTCACCCACCTCTCCCACACAGGCTTCTTCACCGCCGCGGTCCTCATCCTCGTCCGCTCCGCCTACCGCATCCAAGAACTCAGCGAAGGCTTCGTCCCCCCCGAAGATAACGCCGAGGTCCTCTTCATGATCCTCGAGGGCGCCATGATCGGCCTCGCCTCGCTCCTCCTCGTCCTCGTCCACCCGGGTCCCGTCTTCGGCCCCGCCGCCTGGAAGGCTACCAGCTTCTTCTCCAAGCAGCCGTCCCGGGCTGAGAAGCTAGATCACCACTCGGCGGCTGAGAATGGCTTCGAGATGCCTGCTGCTGCTGGCGGTGATGAGGGGGATGGTGGTGATGAGAGGAAGGGGCTGCGGGCGTCTGATATGTCGGGGGGGAGCAGTAGTCGGCCGTTCAAAGGATAGGATTATGGACGGATGGATTCCTGCACTATGAAGTGGATTCGAATCCGTTGTTGTTGTTGCTATTATTGTCTTTCTTGGCGAGCGGAATTCGAAAATCTGAAGTTGGGCGATCCCAGGTTGCGCTGCATGCTGACTAATAATACAATACGATGCAAATGCAAATGCATGGGGAAAGTAGACAGCCGTCTTTAATCCCTGTCTTTAATATCTGCCTTCCCGCTTGCCTGCTTGCCTGCGCTCTCTCTGCAATAGATCGCTCGATGGCTTCCACTTCTTACGCCTGTCTCCTTCCCTCTATCTTCTCCTTCTCCTTCTCCTCCCCCCACCCTATCCTCATCCAACCACCCATACTGATACACCTATATCAGTACCTATATCAGTACCTACATTAATCAGTAACACATAGACACGGGGCTCGACGCATCATAACCCCCTTTTTTTTTTCAATCTGAAATCCATTACATAAAAATTATCTCTATAATTTTCCTCTCATCCATTTATCTCGCGCCTTGATCTACGTATCTATTCATCACGAGACTCTTCCAGCTCTTTGATTGGCAGGGACGGAACCCGATCTCGGCTTCGGCTTCTAGATTGAGAGATGCGGATTCGGGGGTCGGTAAAGAAAGAGGTAGATAAGAGTGTAAACAGTGAGAGGGTTTCTTTTTTTTTTTTTTTTTTTTTTTGAGATGAGATTTTATATGGGTTTTTGGATTTATGGATCGGGATAGATAGGCTGGGCTGGGTTGGGCTGGGGATTAGTATTGTTTTGAAGGGAG